CATTTCTTTTGTAGTTTAGCCATCTTTTGGTTGACAGTGTGGTCTGTAGAAGAAAGCAACAACAAGTTTTAGGAAAGAAAACAGCCTTATGAAAATGCATATATGATTTCAAGGCAGTTACTTCTAAGCCTCTCAGAGCTTAAAATAAAAAGTCATCCCTGGCATAGATATGCTGGTGGGCACAGTGCAGGCTACGTGTTCAAAATAACATGATGTATTTGCTCTGTCAAATGGTCATTATAGTACTATGTATGGCCCTCACCTATAAAAGCATATACACAGATACACTGTGCATACCAATACCAAAGCAGCTGCAGATGGGCTATGCCTTCCCAGAGGCTCAGTGCAATGTGTGTAATAATTCCTACATTATATTTTCAAATGCCATGATGAACTAAAAAGATATCTAGGAAGATATCTTCTTCCCTTGAAAGTTCTGCTTCCCAAACGGGTTCTTCATGGCAACCTGTGTCTGTGGGCCTCTGACTGAGCATTTGCCATTGGCCAAGGTGTAAAGGCACAAATGACAGGGCCCTACACATTAAAATGAACACATGCATGCAATATACGATGTGACCACTCCTTTGTTAAAATGCATTACTCTACAGAAAAATGGCAGAAACACATCTAAAAGACCAGAAATGCAGAGAAATGCAGAGCCACAGCAGACCTTCATCTCTAAAATCCTGCAGTGTTGCTGTTCGGGGTTCTGCTGTTTGGACATTCAACAATATCTTTGCACTTCCTACTGCATTACTCTGAGCGTTTAGGTTTGTTTTTTTTTTTTTTCCTCCAGAAAACACTTCGACGTTGGCAGTAAAGCACACTGGATCAACTGGCCGGTTAACTTAACAGCTCCATCGCCAGCAAACCTGGAAAACAAAAGCTTGGGCAGCATGAATGCCTGTAACATTGTCAATACTTCTCCCTCCTGCCCCCTCTAGCTTCACCCAGCTGTTTTAAATAGTGAAGAGAAATTAAAATTCTTAAAGCCTTGCAGGATGTTTGGATTTCTGCCCTTTATTTCCACTTCTATGCGCCATAGCTTGAAAATTTGCCCATGATTTATAAATTCCCTGTTCAGTTTTCTTTTAAAAAGCAATGACTAGGAATACCGGCAACAAAAATGATCTGGTGTTGGCTTCGCCTCTTGCCAAGCTGCTGCGAACAGCCCTGCCTGCTCGTCTGACTGTATTGATTGTCCCAGGCTAGGCGTTTTCCTGTGCCCGATAACATTATGCAATTACATGATGATAAACATCATTCGGGAATACAAATGCGAGAGGTAAACAGCTCAGGGCTCTTTATTAGTTTATTTCAGGCGATCTTTCTTGTTTTACTGCACAGCTCCTCCCCTTTTTACAGTTTTCTGCTATTCTTTACTAATTCTAGTGATTTGAGAAATGACCTTTAACCCATGCAGTTTGCAGACTCCTAAAAGGGGATAATTGAAATGCCACAGTAAACCAAAGGCAATAAAATATTATTTACTAGGCATAAAACTAAGGTTGGTCTTCCTAAAAGGAACGAACAACCCCTCTATTCCTTCCCCCCCCTCCCCGGACCTGGTGCTACACCTAATTTATAAATTCCTCACCAGCCGTCCCGAGGAATGAACCGCAGCCCGGGCCGGGAGGATGCCTTATGGAAAAAGGCTCCTCGGATATTAGGGAGTAAAGAACTCTGCCGGGAGCGCGGCGAGGCGGGCAGGTGCCGGCGGGGGCGCGCCGGGCCCCTGGTTGAGGGGGGCCCCTGGTTGAGGGGGGCCCCGGGCCGAGGGGGGGGCCCGGCGCTGCCTTCCCTCCTGCGCCGCTGCGTAAGGCAGCGCTCCTCTTCCCACACCGTCCCGCTCCCTGCCTGCGCCCCCGCGTCCCGAGCCGCTCGGCTCTCGGGGCCAGGGACCCCCTTTTCTCAGCGCTCCCCCCTCCCCCCCGGGGAGGCGGCGGGCGGCGCCGGGCTCGGCGGGGAGCGGCGCCCCGGGCAGAGCGGCGGAGGGGCTGGGCCGGGGGGAGCGCAGCGAGCGGGGCCCCGAGGAGGGGAGCCCGCCGGTTCGGTGGCCGGGGCCAAGGCGCGCAGCGGTCGCCGGTGCCGGAGCAAGGGCTGCGCTTACCTGGCGGGCAGCGCCCCGTCGGGGCGGGCGAGCTCCGGGCCCCGGGGGCGTGTGTGCGGCGGGCTCGGGCCGGCCGAGGTGTGCCTTTCCCCGCGTTGGGCTCCTGAAGAGATTTTATTTGCACTGGAAGGGCTTTGAAGGAGTGAATGCATTTATTGATAGCGGAGCGGCTCTCGCAGCCTGTTTGGATTTCCCAGGGCTGCTTTGATAATGTGCCCCCCTTTCCCCTCCCCCGCGTACCCCATGGACCCGCAGTCGCAGGCGAATACAAGGGAAATAATGCGGAATTACGGCACGGCTGGGGGAACGCTCCCATTTCCTGCACTTGGGTGCATGTGAGATGTGAGAGGTGCAATAAAAAACCTTTGGCTGAGGAATGCAGAGCGGGGAAAGCGCTCTGGAGTACAAAGGGTCCGCGAAGCCCTCCTCGCCTGTAGCTCTCATTGGGTCTTACATGATTTAACCCAAACAGTTTTGTCAACAACTTGCCAAATTTACAGAGGGGGAAAAAAAAAAAAAAAAAAAAAAAAAAAAAAAAAAAAGGACGCTGCAGAAGGAGGAACCCAAAGCCGTCGAGCTCGCTCGGTCCCCCCGCGCTTGGGAAGCGGCACATGCGGCCGCCCCTCGTGTCTCGGAGCTTGCAGTAACCGGGGCTTGTCAAACGAGCCTCTGCTCAGGAATGCTGGTGCAGCCCCCGCCGGCTCGGCCATGTGCGCTGCACATTGCGCGCACATGTATGCGCGGGGGTGCCTCCGCGGGGCCGGCCCGGCAGCGTATGGAGTGTGTGTGGGGGGGGGGGGGGGGGGGGGGGAGGCTGCGTGTGTCCCCCCGCCACAGGGTGACCCGTCGGCAGTGCTGGTGGCACAGCTCGGCCGCGCAGCCCGCACACACACACACCTCCGGCCGGGGCGGGCGCAGGGGGGCACCGCTTTGGGGGAAGAGTTTGGGTTCACAGGGGTCTCAGGCCGGGCTTGGCCATCGAGAAGGGCCCGGAAATGCGGGGCTCCCCTGATGCGGGGCTCCCAGGGGCGCGCTGCGGCCGCAGGGACCGGGCACCCCGCGGCTGCACCGGGATCCCGCTCGCTGCCGTACAGCTTTAAAATCCAGCCCAGTCTGCAATAGGTCGGCTCCGGGCGCATGCGCTGCGGAGAAAGTTTTTGAGCTGCCGTTGGCTCTCCAACTTTTTTTTTTTCTCCTTTTTCTCTCTTTTTTTTTTTTTTTTTTTTTTAAAAAAAAAAAAACAACAACAAAAAAACCCAAAACAGTTTTAAGCAGCGGGGTGAAGAGGAGCGAGGGAGACACACGGGGGGAGCTAGGCCGGCTGCAGCGGGCGGGGGGCAGAACCCTGAGGAGGAAGGGTCGGCTGCAGCGCGACGCCGTCTGCTCCGGCTCGTTCTCCAGCGCGTAACTTGCTCCCCGGCGCTGGGTGCCTTTGCCAGCGATGGATTGGGGGAGCCGCAGCTCCTGAAGCCCCGGACTTCACCCCTCCCCCTGCCCCTACTCGCCTTGCAGGATCAGTCGCCCCGTAAGACAGACACACGCGTGCACAGGGCCCCCCCTCCCCCTTCCCTGGTTGTGCAGAAACTTCTTTTTCTGTTGGGTTTGTTCTTCTCTGTGTAAAATGGAGGGAGCCAGCCCCAGGATGGCTCTGCAGCCGCGGACGCCCGGCTCCGCACCGCCCAGCCTTTAAGCAAGAGAAGGAGGGCGGGCAGGGGGGAGCCCTGCGCCCGCTCGGCTCCGCTCGTCCCCCTTGCCCGGTCCGCGCAGAGCCGCGGAGGGGCCGCGCCGGCGGCCGGAGCGCTGCCGGGGCCGGGTGGAAGCGCGGGGAGCCCCGCGGCGGCACCACCTGGGCTGGTGGGACGGATCGTCGCCCGCGGCGCTTTCGCTGCCGCTTGTGAAGATTTTTATTTGCTTCCGCACAATCACGCCCACGGGCGCTGTGTGCGTGTGTTGGGTTGGCTTTTTTTTTTTTTGGGGGGGGGGGGAGGCTTTTTTTTTTTTCCTTTTTTTTGGCCTTTTTTTTTTTTTTTTTTTTTTTTTTTTGCCTCCTTCTTCTTCTGGTGGTGGAAAGCCCTAATTACTGCGATTGCTGATGGACCTTGGAAAGAAGGCTGCACTGGTGCCCCGCTCCGCAGTCGGACACGCTCAGCCTGCGCCGGACAGAGCGACCGCTCGCCCACCGCCCCCCGCCAGCACCGCGGCCCCCCGCGCTTCCCCGGCAGCCGCCGCCGTCCGCTGCCTGGGAGGATACCGCCCGGCTCCTGCGATCCAGGATTTTACTTTCGCCTCGCCCTCTCCCCTCCTGCTCTGCTTGGATTACTTGGCTGCTCTCGCTCGGTGATCCCGCGGCAATGGAGGTGAGTCCGCGCGGGGCGCGGGAGCCTCCGCGCCGCAGGGGGCTGCCTCCGCGGGCGCGCAGGGTGGGCTGCCCCTCGGCGGGGCGCGGCCCTGCGCGGGCGCGGGTCCCCGGCCGCGGGGCGGCCCTCTCTTCCCCGAGCTGCCGCCGGGCGCTCCCACCTCTCCGCTTTCACCCACCGCGGAGACGCTGCTCCCCGCTTGGAAAAAGCTCCTTTATTTTCTTTTTTTTTTTTTTTTTTTTGTCTTTTCTTTTTAAATTTCCCACTCGAAGAGAGGCTGCCCGCCGCAGGGACGCTTGCTGGGCTCGCTCTGCCCGCCGCGTCCCGGTGCATCTTTCTGGCAGCGGTTCCTAACGCGAGTTTAAAGACATCTTTCCAAACTTCCCAAAGTTTCCCGAGGAGGATCGCTATGGAGGAGCTCAACGTCGGCGCTAATGGTGGCCTGTACCTTTAAGGAGAGCTGGCTGGGGGCCAGCGGAGGACCCGGAGTCAGCCCCCCCCCCCCCCCCCCGTCCCCCTCCTTTTTAATTTTATTCTAAGTTTCTGGAGATTATCACTCTGCATCTGCAGAGGGTCCCGCTTGGGTCAGAGCGGAGGAGCGCGGCTCCTCGGGGTCCCCTTGGCGCTGCGAGGACTCCATGTTGGAAAGGCTGTTGGCTTTCTGTTGTTTGTTTGTTTTTAATTGTCAATTGTATGCTAAATCGGTTGCGCTCGGAGGGTCACGGAGAGTTCAGTTGGGCCGAGAAGCCAGGCTTTTCCCCGGCCGGAGGTGGCGCGGAGGGAAGGACGGAGGTGCGCCTTGCACCCCCTTGGAAACCCCCCCCTCGCCTCTCCGGTAGGAGAGAGCTGGACTGCGGACCCAGCGAGTGACTTTCTCTGAAAACGTGAAACCCGGTCTCGCCCTTCCAAAATGGATGTAAAGCCGCAGGGGGCTGCCGGGGGGGTTCCCCGTGGAGCCGCTGCGCCTCCCGCGGAGCCCGCCGCGGTTTACAGCTCCCGGGAGCCGGGGCTCTGGAAGCCGCCTTCCCGCAGGTAGTGCTCCCAGAAAACCAGATGCCTTCGCAGGCTTTCCAGACACCCCGTGTAAAACAGGATCACAGGCGATCCCGCGGCTGCAGGATCTGTAAAAGCCTCCCTTTTCATCTCAGCAGAGTGCGAGCTCCGCATGGGGTGCATTAAATACCAAAAACCAATCTCCGCGGCCCTACAAAGTTGAAAATGGTGCCTCGCACTCCTGATAGCCGGCGAGTCTTTTTTTTTTTTTTTTACTTCTTTTGATGGCTTTTTTGTTGTTGTTTTTGATGGCAGCTTGTCAGCTGCTGCGCTCAGAAGGGCCGGGCCCCCGGGTGCAGGTGCCTCCTCCCGCCTCGCCAGGCCGCGCCGTGCCAGGGGGACGAGGCGGGCCATGGCAGCGCTGGTGGGGGGCGGGAGGTGCCGTCGCGGGGGGGGCGCAGCGGCCGCCCGGCCCCGGCCCCGGTCCCGGTGCCTCCCGGGGCTGCGGGGGCCGAGGCCGCCCCCTGTTGGGCGCGGGCGGCACAGCTCCCTGGGGGCTGCTCCGGCCCGGCCCGGCCCGGCCCGGGGGGGGCACCGCGGCCCTTTGAGCGGGGCGGGCGGTGGGGTTTGGGGCGGGCAGGGGGAATTTGGCCCCACCGGCCGCGTCTTGCAGCGGCGGCACCGGGTCCCGGCGGGCCCCGGCCGCCCGCCCCGCCGGGGCAGCTCGGCGGGCAGTGAGCCCGGCTGCTGGGCAGGGCAGCTGCGCATCTCTTGCGGTGCCGCTTGGGCACCGGCGTCCTCAGCCTCCTCAGGGCTCGGGCGGTTCCACGGCACTTCTTTATTATTGTTACTTTAAGAACGGATGAAAGAAAAAGCCCCAACACGTCGGCTTTGGGGTGTCGCAGCGAGCGCCTCGCACACCTTGCTTCGCCGCACGTCCCTTGCTTCATCCGCCCTCGGCTTTCGCATCTTCCCCGGGATTGTTCCCATTTAAACCGGACGGGCTCTTTCTGCGGCGGGAGACCGGTCCCCTTTCACCACCACCCCCACCCACCCAGCAGGAACTGGGGGGGTCCCTCGGCACGGGGGGTGTTTGACGCGCAGGAGGCGGCCAGGGGCGAGGGGCGGCTTCGGCCCCGCGGCTGCAGCCCCGGCGCGGTCTCCGCTCGCACACGCGGGCGGCCCCCACGCTGACTGCAGCTTCCCCGCGTGTGTCCGGGCGGGTTTCGTGTCAGCCCAACTTCCCGCCGCGGCGCTGCGATCGGTCCTCTCCTCCCGACTCTTCGCAAACAGAAATAAATTGGAATTAAGAGCACCTTCAATTCAGCATTAAGGGCTTTTTGGGAATGAATAGGGAGCCCTCAAGTGTCGAAATGTCTTTTTTTTTTTTTTTTTTTTTTTTTTTTTTTCTTCCCTCCTTCCGAGGGGAGGGGAAATAAAAAATCGTGAATGGCACTGGTTAGCAAGTTAAAGAGTCCCGTGTGAGGACGCAGACTGTGATCGCGGGACCTGTCGGTGGAAGCGTTTGATTTCCAAGGCGGCAGCCTGCTTGTTGCCGGGGCCGGGTCGGGACGCGGAGCCGCTCCTGGTACCTCCCCGGGCCGGCACCGACCCCGGCGGGGCCCGGGGGCTGCCGTCGGGGCTGCCCCAGTGCGGAGCTCAGGGCTGCCTCGGCGATCGCGGAGAGCGGGCGGCGGCGCAGCCCGGAGGCTGCGGCGAGATGGTTTAGGGGGGCAGCGGGGAGCGCCTTCCCCGGCCGGCGGGGAAGGGCGAGGACCGGCCGCATCGTCGCCGGCGGGGAGCCGCCGGGCCTCCCCCCCCGCCCCGCGGCACCGACCTCCCCCCCCCGCCTCCCCGTTCCCACTCGGGCTCGCTTTGCAAACCTGAAGCCGCCTTTAGCCCGCCGTGAGCGTTTCGTGTCCACGATGCTGGCTCCGGAGCGGGGAGCGATGGGGTAATGCCCGGCCCGGGGCCCGCGGGTCGCCTGTAGCCCCGGGGCCGCGGGGATGGCGGGATGGGGTCCCCCGTGTCCGGAGCAGCGGTCCCGTTCCTGTCCCGTCCCGTCCCGCCACGGGCGGGGTGCGGGGATGGCGGGGCCGGGGCAGAGGGACAGGCGGGCGCGGGTCGGTGCTGCGGCCGCCCCGGGAAGGCGGTGTCCGCCGGGGGGGTGGGGGGGGGGGGGCGTGGGGGTGCGTGGGTGGGTTTTGCCCGGTGGAGCGGGAGCCGCGACGTGCCTGCGTTTGGCACCAAAGCCTCGGCGGGGAGAAGGGCAGGCAAGTCAGAGTCAAGTTAAAAGGGGCCCGGATACTTCCGTTGTTTAAACTTGAATGCTCGAAAATGGTCTGAGAAGCAATAAACAATCTGATCCTTTTTCTCCCCCCTCCAGAAATCCACTGCAGTATTAATCCAAGGAGGTGCTTTGGGGACAGTTGGCAGTACAATGGCTGCTCAGTATCTCATAGTGGCTCTGGCCATTTTCTCCTCTTTTACCCAGGTTGTAATAGAAGCCAGCTCTTGGTGGTAAGCATCTTGTATCGACTTGATTTTAAAAGGGGGTGTCAAAATTTGCTTGATTAAATGTGTATTTACTTCGTATGTACTTTGTTTCTGAGGGAGTACTACTGCATGAAAGAGACAGCAGGGGAGTAATGTTTTAGTTGTAATATGTTGCGTAGTAAAATGAACAGGTCTCGAATAAGTGCAAATGTGCAACATCTCGTGTTGTAAAATGCAGTTTTTAGAATGCTGTACAGTAGATTCTCTGTGGATTTGATTGTCCTTAAATTATTAGAATTGACTTTCTGTTAAAAGAGTCATTTTAACTCCCTTAGGTTAGAAATTTTGCATATATAAGAGAGAATGCTGATTTACAAGTAAAAACTTTTGCTACAGTTTCGGTTTGAACTTTTCTGTAACTTAAATGTTTGTAAATGTATTTTGTTACAAAGAACTACATTTAAATTTCTGCTTTGGCAAATTATATATTTTTGTACAGTGTACAATGTTGGGAATTCTGGAAATAGGTGTTTGCTGTTTCAAGAGTTTCTTTTTGGATTAATGGCCACTTTTAACTGAAATGTATCATGTGAAGAGCACTTTAAGAATTAAGAAAACAAAGTTGATTTTGTTTACAGTGAATATACTTGCCTCTGTGTTTTTGTTTGTCGTTCGGAAGAATTGAGAAGTAGTCTGTAACAAGTTTCTAACTTCTGGCTTGCTAAAGGTTTCCCTATTTGTTCCTGGTAGAACAGATTGAAAAATCCAGACTTAAATTTAAAATGTGTGTTAAAATGAATTGGGGTTTGGGGGGGCCTTTTTCATTTTTGCTTTATTTATTTATTTTTTGGCCTTGCAGTAGTTTGGAGCTTCTGTTATTTTTACTATGTCCATTTAAGTTGGTAAAGGACTGCTTAGATGCAAGACTTCCAAGTCTGCATTTTACTTCAGTCCCTAATCTATGGTGATAACCACATGGATGGGAACTAATAACTTCTGTGCTGTCTTTAAGACAAAACTTTAAGATTTAAGTGTTTGGGTTTTTTTCTTACCTGTTAGCAAAACCAGGAGTTGTATGCTCATGTATAAGATACAGTTCTGTTTGGGATTTATAGAATTTTTTTTTTTTTTTTTTTTTTTTTAGCTTTCTCTTTATTAATCCAAATCTTTCTTTACGCAGGTCTTTAGGGATGAACCCTATGAACCCCATGAACCCTGTTCAGATGTCAGAGGTGTATATAATAGGAGCCCAGCCACTATGTAGCCAGCTAGCAGGGCTTTCCCAAGGACAGAAGAAACTCTGCCAATTGTATCAGGACCATATGCAGTTCATTGGAGAGGGTGCAAAGACGGGCATTAAGGAGTGCCAGTATCAGTTCAGACATAGAAGATGGAATTGCAGCACTGTGGACAACAACTCTGTTTTTGGCAGAGTCATGCAGATAGGTAGGAAGCAACATCTTTATGATTAAACTCTTGTCTAAGGATATGTATGGCACATACTGTTCTGCACTTGAAACTCTTGCCAGGTTCTCAGTGAGTACTGCATACAATCAAGTGTTTTTAAAAGTTGGCAAAGGAGTTGAATTATTTTTAGCTGGAGGTGATTTCCCACCACTGTCCAGCCATGTGTCTTGGAAAACAAAGTAGGAATATATATTTGCATATGGGGATAGAGGAGAAAGAAAAATGCAGCCCTGAAATCTCCTTTTAGAAAACCTGAGACAAAATGAAGGCAACCTAAGAGAATTAAAACCAGCAGCGTCTTGTAAAATTAAAGATGTGCACATCTACTTCCAAAATTAGTGGCCACATCATAAATTGCTCTTGGTCTGGAGGTTAACTGAAAATTGTTGCTCTGTCTATTAGTATTTATAGGCAATTCCTTCTTGCCTATTTCCAGATACAGTAACTTTTTTCTCTCTTTGAGAAGGGTAGATTTATGTTAAAAATAATGTAGCAGGGTAATTTTTATGAAATCAGTTCTATCAGGACAAAATGTGTGATTGTCCTTGTAACTTACATTTAATGTAATCACGAGGCTGGTAGGAGAGACAGATTCCTGTTTAACATCTTACCACAATTTGGTGGGCACCCAACCCTTTCTCTATCAGATCCTCTTTGAAATGTGCTTCTCCAATGCTCATGTGCTTCCAGCCTTTCCTGTTGTTCAAGGACCTCATCGTATTTTAAAGTCCTTGGCATAATTTTAACCAGTGATGTTGAACTGGGTCCATAGTGAAGCCTTCCTGTGCCTTTCCCAAGTCGGATTGCTGATTCTGTGTAAGCAACTGAAAAACGCTTATTTTTCGGGGTGACAGTTGTGATCTTTTATGTAGTGATCAGTACACGGACAAACTCAGTGGTGCTCTTTAGTTGGAGATGTAAAGCTTTTATGTCAGTGTTTTTCTGTCCTGCTTTTTAAAAATAAAGTTTTAAAATCAGACTCAAGCTAGGTTTGTCTGCAAATGGGCTAACTCCAGTTAAAGTTGAAGGAATACATCAATTCACATTTGGTCTCAATTTCTGTTAAAAGAAGTTTTTATATGGAGATTGTCAGACAAATAGAAAAAAAATCTATTGCATAAAAGTACCTAATGGGAACAGCTGATTTTAGATAAACAACCTTCCCTGGGATTTTTGCAAGCACAGTATTAACCCCCCCCATAGAGTTTGTTTTTTTTTACCCTACCCAGCCAAAAAGTTTAAAAGCACATGAAACATGAAAGAAAACTTGTCTTGTATACCTTTCTGTTCTAATAATCTAACAAATGTCAGAAAAATAATCTGTTTAAAATTTAGGCCTTCATCCTTCAGCCCTTATTTATTATTCAAGCAAGTGAAAATTAGCTCAAGGGGACTATTGGTGTGAAGAAATGTACAGGATTGGGCCTGTGATTTGTGGTGTCTGTCTCTGGAATAGATGTTTCTGCCCTCCCCAAGTATGACAGATTTATTTAAAGGTAGTGTCTTTCAAGTTAAATAACTTTGCCGCACCCTTCTGCTGAATATGACTGTATTAGCTGATGTCTACACAGCAATTCATCATGTAATTAAGCCACTTATTCTAATTGCAGATGGAAGCAAGGTTAATAGCCATATTCAAGAGTTAAAGAGCCTAAAGAGTGTATTCACTGAGAACAAGAAAGGTGTTGTGGGTAACAGTTGTATTATTTCATGCTGACCTTCAGTAGTGACAGTTGCTGTTCCTCTGAGTGGAAGGAAAAACGGGTACTTCTAGAGTCCGATTCAGTTTTGCTTCAGCCCGCCATACCCTGGCTTGTCAGGGACTGTCAGATATTCCTTACTTTCACCGACATGAGAGGATGGTAGTCAGGATCTGAATGCACGTAGTTTGGGAGGATTTTGTCATCTGAGCTAACAACATGCTGTCGCTGGCTGCGCACAGGAGAGCGCCTGGGCAAAGCACCGACTGACTGGCAGCACAGTAATTACCCCGATGTATAAATGGACAGTCTTTCTTCCAGGATTTATCCTGCAAAGTTAGCTTAAGCTGTACAAATAAACCTAGCATTGGGTTTGGAAACTTGCTCTGTGGCTTACTGAACTGCAAAATTTTTGGGCTTTTGTTCTCTGCTGCTCTCCTTTGCCGCTGGTTCCCAGGTCAGGCCATGGTCCTCGCTGCCTCCCTCGCCTTGCGCCATCTCCTGGCTCTGTGGCCGGCCCCAGGCTGGCTGCGCTTGGGCTTTGCAGACAACTAAGTGCTAACATAAAATAAAATAACTGGATCCTCCCCCAACAGCTCGGTGTAGTTGGGGTCCAGTTTATTCGTGCCTGCTGCCTGGTCTTGAATGCTTTTAAAATATAAGACAAAGAACATTTTGTATCTTATGTTCAGGTATAAAAAAAACCTGTTCTTGCAGACTTATTCATATCAAGTGGAAAGCTCAGCTCCTTGCTCTGTGGGTGGCTTCCTACAGTGTGTGTATATTGAACAGTTCCATTTCTATGTTTTATATATATGGGAGAGAGGGGACTCAAACGTGTTTGGAATGTATGTTTCCTTGCCATGGCTACAATAGAGAGAAATGTTGGACTGTGGGAAAAGACAGATATATTTGACAGGGAAGGAAAGCACAGTTGTGCCTAAAGACTTAATAAATAAATAAATAAATCAGAGTAACTCATCCATGTGGAACCATCACTCCTAATGTGTTCCTGGGGTGGATGACTTGAGGCAGGGTTGGCTTGCAACCTGTGGGGGCTTGAAATCTACTTCAGCAGCTGATGCTAGTTTATAATTTGCCTAAGTGTTCAAGGAGGGAACTTGGGGGGCAACTCTGCTTTCTGTACCCCAGCCTTTCCTTTTCCTTCCCACTGAGAGTAAGTTCTTTAAAATATGCTCCAGGGTAATAATGAAAACTAGTCAAAAAAAGTCAGCTTTATGAGTTTAAATCCTGCAGTAAACGGCATAGTTAACCATATGAAAGCATGAGCTAACTAAACATGAAAAAGAATAAAATGGAACGGAAGAGGCAAGTCCTGTGGTCCAAAGTAGACCACGTTTCTTTCCCCTCAATCTAGTGGAAATTTTATTTAAGGAATTAATCCAAAAATGTGTGTTACAGAACAAATGGGAACATTAAAATCTGTATGAGGTTCTCCCCACTATAGTTTGCAGTAAATGCAAGGCATAAGTCACCACAGAAAGCCAAATCTTTTTAAACTGAAAAGGCTATTCCTGTAACCCTTTATACCCATAATTCATGTAAGTACTTCCATGAGCAGGTGTCTGTGAGAATAGACCACTGTAAGTAAGGGAGCAAAGTGCTTCTCATCTTCCTTAAGTCTGATCTTTCCCAACATAAGACTTCTGATTTTTCCCGTTTAAAACCAGCATCTATTACTAAAATTAATCCAGTGGATGACAGCTGTTATATTAACAAAGCTGCTCTGAGCATGGTGTCATCTTGATGTTAAATATAGACCAGACTGCAAATTATTTATGTTCCAGAAGTGCTTGAAAGCTCCTATTAGATTTGACCTGTTGTGGTAGGTCTTGTACAAAGAGTTTCTGCCTCAGAATGTTGCTGCCTAAATACATATGACATGTTCAAAACACAATCTCTTAAATCCCTAATTTTACAAAGTCTCATGCTGTTCTCTAGGAAAAATCTTGTAAAATCAGAATTAAATAGCTTGATCTATTGATTGGGCCAAAGATTAGAAATAGAACTTAATTCATATAAATATATAAAAACATATATATTTAGTCTATTCTCAGTCATTCTGAGAATCTTTTTTGGAAAAGATCCAGTGGGATACTGTCTCTTAAGATGAAAAATAAACTTCAAGTGGGCTCTCTGGTGCAAGTCTTACAAGTTTTTGTTTGTTTGTTTGCTTGCTTGAAAGCTTTTCTAGTTGTAGTCAGAACTTGTGGCACCCTTGTAAAAGCAATAGGGGAAGTCAATCTCTAAATAAAGTTGGGATTAGTTACTGTCAAGACGATGATACGTGGCCATATCTTGCCTTGTGGGTATTGTAACTTTTTCTTCAGAAAGTTTGAAACTCAAGGTTTTCAATTTCCATTTAAGGGCACCAGATGCAGGAGAAAACCTTCAAGGCCGCCTTGTGCCAAGGGTTTTTTCTTCCCTGTAATTTGTAAAGATGATTGTCCACGGACTCACTTGCCATTTTCACATGAGCTGGAGTGGTGGATACTGAACAGCACAGGTTGTTGTTAGTTTTAAATAGCCTCCTACAGAAGTGCCTGGCTTATGCATAGGGTGAAGAGCTGTGTGTTATTCTGCTGTGCATTTCTTTTGATACCAGGAGGCTTTGTAAAACACTATAACTTTAAGTAAATTGGAACAAGTGGGTGAAGTGCATCAATCATGTTTGAGAAGTAGCAATTTAAGAACCAGACTTTTAAAAGTTGTATTTAACATCTCTTCTTTTTTTTTTTTTTTTTTTTTTCTGAAAGACAGGGAGTCTGGTTCCCTTTCTGCCCCTCACACGCAGGCACGGCTGCTTTGGCCCTGCTGGCATCTCGTTCTGGCCCCAATTCACCTCCTCCCCGCTCCCTTGTCCAAGCTTTCACCAACAGGAATAAGAAGTGTCTCCTGCTCTTCGCAGACACCTTGTGTGCTCTAATGGGTTGGTTTCAGTTGGTGCTTTCAGAGTGGAGACATTTTGAGAAGCCACGGTTCAGGGTTACTCTCCCTTTTAGTAGGCTCATGAATTCTGGTGGCTCCTGGAGAGCCTTTGCCCTCCCGGCTCATCGGCGGGCAGAGAGTGGGGCGCACGGGCTCTCCCCTAACACCGCTCCTCTTTCTGCGCAGGCAGCCGGGAGACGGCGTTCACCTACGCGGTGAGCGCAGCTGGGGTGGTCAACGCCATGAGCCGTGCCTGCCGGGAGGGCGAGCTCTCCTCCTGCGGCTGCAGCCGCGCGGCGCGGCCCAAGGACTTGCCCCGGGACTGGCTTTGGGGTGGCTGCGGGGACAATATCGAGTACGGATACCGCTTCGCCAAGGAGTTCGTTGACGCCCGGGAGCGCGAGAGAGTTTACCAGAGAGGCTCCTACGAGAGTGCCCGCATCATGATGAACCTGCACAACAACGAGGCCGGGAGAAGAGTAAGTGGCTGTGAAACAGCATGTCCCTCTGCCCCTGTCTATGTCCCTCCTTTTGGGGAAAGACGTGCCTTGGTGGGACACAGAGCAGTGCTGGATGGTGACCAGCCACCGAGGCTTGTCTCCGTTTCAATGCACAGAACAAGAAAACAGCAAGTACAGGGTGTAGGTGGGTGGGGAGTATATGAATTTGCTTCTGGTTGTCTGACAGCCCTGTTGCCTTCCCCCTGGGGACTGGGACCAAAGTGTGTTGTGTTTTCCTCCGTATTGTTTCATTAAAAGTGCCGTGCTCACTGTGGATTCTCTGTAGAGCAGAATTTTATTACTTTGTATTTCCAACCAGGACAGTGTGTGTTGGAGGGAAGAGGGACGCGCTGGGCTTCCCAGGCTGGAATTGTGCCGCAGGATTGTTCTGACTTTTTTTTCTTTCCCTGCTTTAAGAAGATGTGAAAAGCTCCTCCATATTATTAAAAAACATGGCCTTCTGTGGTTAAACATGTCTTTATGGTTTCTTTAATCTCAAAAATGCATTAAATGAATGGGTGTAAACTTTTCTTTTTTTAATAGTCTGAACATGAAGAGCCAAAATCATTATTTTCCTAGAGCTTGAAGTGCCAGAAATAGGCAGCTGGAGACTTTACACTTGTGTTCTAAGGTGAAGAAGGATGAAAGATAATTGAAAATTAATAGTATTTAAATGTGAGAGGAGGGTGTCTGAAAGCAAGGGACAAGCCAATTTACTATTAGCAGGAAGAAAAATGACACTTTCATAGTTGCTTATGGAGACTCGAGCAGTTTTTTCCTTCCTCAGCCTCATCTTTGCAGTGCCATTTGGCAGCATTAAGACCCTCTGTAACTGCTGGGTGGAAGTTGTCTACAGTATCATCTAATGTGTCAGACCCCAGGATTTTTGGGGCAGTGTCAACACTGACTCTTATTTCTATTTGTGCAGGGCAAATGACTTATATTTCCTTGCCAAAGCTTTGTAAAGAGGATATTGCTATGTAGCTCTGTCTCCCACCCATAGGTGTTTGGGGGTTTCTTCTTGGATGCAGTCTCCTTTGCAGAGCAATATTTTGGATAGGAGGAGGATACTGAGCCAAGAGTAGACAGTCAGCTGCAGCTGAGCCAGGAGCAAGAGGAATCTTAACTCTTTCCCTAATTGCAGCCTCAAGCAGAGATCAATAGAGAGAGTAACTCAGATAGAAAATAAAGGGATGCTTTACATTTCTCAATGAAACAGCAAAATCCTTTGCTGGCGTGAGAGTGAATTCCTAAAATTTGACTGCAGCCTGACTGATGCTGCTGTCTGGGCTGTGTGTGTGCTGTTGTGGCCGTCTCTGCGGTGGGAGAGGCTGGTGAGAGCTCTCCCTTCCTCCTCCTGGCTAACGGGGGTGCTGGGGGGGCACATGTGTCAGCTCGCTCATTCTTCCTTCCCAGCGTATTGGAGGAGGGAGGAGGATGCTGAGGTGAATATTGTGGAGAGGCGAGTGAGAATGTGACAGAGGGCAGGAAATGGGGGGAATAAATGCTTTCACAGCCATGCTAATCTTTCATCACTGTTTTTGCTTTCTTTCCCTGGCTCCTCCAGACTGTGTACAACCTGGCTGATGTGGCCTGTAAGTGCCACGGTGTCTCTGGTTCCTGTAGCCTGAAGACCTGTTGGCTGCAGCTTGCTGATTTCCGCAAGGTAGGCGATGCCCTGAAGGAGAAATACGATAGTGCTGCTGCCATGAAACTCAACAGCCGGGGCAAGCTGGTGCAAGTGAACAGCCGCTTCAACGCACCCACCATCCATGACCTGGTCTACATCGACCCCAGCCCTGACTACTGCGTGCGCAATGAGAGCACTGGGTCCCTGGGAACCCAGGGCCGCCTTTGCAATAAGACCTCGGAGGGCATGGACGGCTGCGAACTCATGTGCTGTGGCCGGGGGTACGACCAGTTCAAGACGGTGCAGCGAGAGCGCTGCCACTGCAAATTCCACTGGTGCTGCTACGTGAAATGCAAGTTGTGCACAGAGATCGTGGACCAATTTGTGTGCAAATAGGGGATGAACGAGATGGGAGGGACTGCAGCCACCTGCCAGCAAGGGGTGCAGGCCCCTCTCCCTTTCCACAGGACTATCTCCACTTTATTTATAGAGTCCAACGAGTTGTCGTCTTCTTAAAAAAAAAAAAAAATGCAGAGGGAAGGGAAAAAAAAAAGAAAGAAAAAAGAAAAATATAAAGGTTGCAAAGAGAAGTGCCTCAAAACCCTCTCTGCGTCCATCCCAGAACTGTGTGTGGCTTATATTTTTGGCAATAATGGGGGAGAACCTGAGAATATTTATTTTACAAAGTAAAAAAAAAATTGACTTAAAAACAATAGAGTAGTTTGAGGGGAAAATCCAACATATCCTAATTTAGTCCGATGGGACGTAATACACGTGCAGTAGGCAGAGCAACCATGTAATAATGTGCTTGGGATGTTAGAACAATCCTTATGGATGTGAGGAACACAGAGACCTGTCCATTACTTTTAGTTTCAGACACTAGAAGTTATCAGAATAGGGTATATAAAGCTGTTCAATACATTTAGGGCTCTGTAAATATGGGGTATATTCATCATGAAGTGCAGTGCCAGTTGCATATCTGAATGTACCTGCTTAAGTACGCCATGTCATCGGAGGGTAAAGAGCAAAGGATCATAAAGGCTTCAACTGTGCTATTCTTGAGTCACCATGTCTGGTTCCAGAACCTAACAAGACCCAAAAAAAGAAAAGAAAAAAATCTGCCTTGACGAATAATAGATACTCTTCAAGGTGGGATTTGGCCTTATTAGCTAATTGTGACGTTTGAGTGTCTCATCTTACAGAGCAGTACTTCACTGCTACCGAGTGTGGAGAGCAGCCGAGGTGCAGTGGAGCACTGGAGCTGGGCGGAGGGGAGCTGCAATGCTCACAAACAGTTTCGGTCTCTCAGCCTGGGAAACCCATAGAAAACAGAATTCCCCAAATTTGAAAATGCCTTAAAAATGGTGTAATAGCTGGCTGTCTTTCAAAACACAGCTTGACAAATAACTCCTCTAATTTTATGTGAGAAAATAGATCATTAGATATCCACTCGTGGAATGATTGATTTTTATTTTTTCCACAGATTTTGGGAACGCTTTCACTCAAGGAGACAATAGTTTCATATTTTAATAACATTAACTGACTATTATAGTTCAATGAAAAGTTGCAGCAGTACCAAATTTATCATCTTATGTCTTTAATACACATGCTTTAGATAATATATTGCAGATATACACTAAAACTGTTCAGACTATACTAGAGCAGTTACATATATATGGGAGAACTGTGGTCTTCTGGTGTCTGATATTTCAAAGCTTTTTGTACATATATATTTTAGTGATTTAAGGAATAATAAAACATCTAAATTACAGGGGCAGTTCATCCCCCATTTTCTTTTTCAGTTCTCTTCCGGTTCTTAGATTGATTCTAACCTTTTGGTGTTTTGTTTTTTTTTTTTTTTTTCACGATTTTTTAAAAGCTTTTATCATTCAGAAGTTTTAAGGACAGTCACAAAGAAGTAAGCCTCTTCCCAGCTTTAGGACTTTCTTGGGCAGTTGGTAGAGGCAGCACCCTGCACTTGAATTGATACTGGTCTGGAGATCGCTTCTATTCCACTTTCACATTAAGGGCATTACCGATTATTGCTGAAAGGAGACACCTTCTAACCCTAAATGTGCTGCGTTTGGCCCTTGCTTTTTAGCTTCTGAAATGGAAATTGTTATTTGTTGAACAATATGCATTCCCCACAATGCTGTGTAGTTACACAGAATTTCATCATTGGTTCAGATGCCTTGTTCCAACTCAGTCCCATTCAACAAGTTAAAGAAAATGGTTTTGCAAATACCAAGTGAGGAAAATCTTTCACTTTAGCCTAGTTGTACTAAAGCCTTAACTTTTCATGAGCCTTTAAGCTGTATCATTAAGTTCATCTTGATCATTTATCAGCTTCTTAAGTGGCGCTTTATTGCTCTTAATTTATTGTACAAGGACATATTTACCCCTCATCTTCAGATGTTTGCAAAGAATATCTTTAAAGTAAGATAAATAAATAAAGCACTAATTCATTGAATATGTCACTTTGGTTTTTATTGTACAAAAACCATGATCTTTTTTTTTTTTTTTTTTTTTTTTTTTCATTTGCGGAATCACCTCATGTTCCTTTTCAGTGAATTTTATCTGAGCAGAGCTGAATTTCATGATCCTAGCTATTAAAACACTATTTAATGTAAAATATTTTACTTGTCATTCAGATATGTAAATCTTCTATGTCCTTTCCTCTGTTCTGTACATTTAATGTACATATTTCTGTCTTGCGTGATTTGTATATTTCACTGGTTTTAAAAAAAAAAAAAAGAAAGGATTATGCCGTAATGGAAGATAGACTATAAAAATAAAACTTTGGTTGTATATTGGGAAGTGGTTTTAATTATCTTTCAGAGGAGGGTTTGTTAAAACAATGAACAGAGTTGATTTTTAAATTTACTACGTGGTAAAACAGGGAAGTGATTGTTCGCCAGACGTACAAAGTACATCTTGAAATTTTATTTCTATATTAAGAAGGCATACAGATGTAAGTACCTCTTAAATAGAAGGGGGAAAAAACCCCAAAAAGCGTAATCCCAAATCCCTGTGACTGAATTAGAGAGCATTTTAGAGATGAATAAATATTTAATTGACAATGGATAGGGACCTAGGTTAATGTTATTTGTGTGCATAGGTCTTCCAGGGTTGCTTGTTGTGATTCTGGGACAGTGGGGCCAGATCCTGTGAACAGTTTACTCCAATAATTCTAGTGATGGCAGCAGGATCCTTGCGTGAGTAAAGGTTTCCAGCGTAAAAAGTGTTCGGGACTGGGTTTTGTGTGGTTTGGGTCACTGGAGTGTGGTTCTCCCACCCATCAGCCTGGCTGCACTTTGAGCTGCAAGGTGAAAGCTCACCAGTTTTTCCCTTAGACTTCTTGCCCAGAAATTGAGTGTGTATGGATGTAAGAATCCTTTAAAAAACCAAAAGGCGAAGCACAATGAAGTATTGGCAGTAAAGAAGTAAAGCAGAAAATGAAAATCAATGTAAAAATCAAGCCTTCTGTTTTGAGACTGGCTTTTCTTTGAAGTGACTTCCTGAGTAAGTCATAATTTCTTTCTGCTATAGGGAGCTTGATGAATTAGTGGCCTTTCTTTACCTCTCTTCTGCTTCTTTTCGTTTTGTTTTTTTTTTTTTTTTTTTTTTTTGCTCAAGGATAACCTTCTAACATATCGAAACTCCTTCTGGCTGCCAAGAATGTATTATCCCACAAACCAGTAGACCAACATCGTGTGTTTAAAATAGCAATTCTGGGCAAATGCAACGTTCTGTGGTCCTATTACTGACATCTGGTTCAGTTTTCCTTCACTTGTATATTGACCAGTATTCTTTATTGCAAAAACACAGCCCCTATTTAGGAAAGTCAGCATTTTTTTGGACTGGATTGTATTCAAGATCTTCCCAATAACAGAAAAGTTACCAAAAAATTTCTTTATTGGCAGCAGTAAATATCTATATTCAAAATAGTCATTACGGGCTCAGATACAAGAGAATTGTTTTTAATTTGCAGCAAAGTTTGTCTGTTTACTTTTGTTAAAAATGCTGTTATCCTCTGGTTCAGAATCTTGTATTTTTAGTAATCTCTTAAAACCTCTGTGTTCGGTTATGGCTTTGCCCATACCAATTTTCACACTTTTTTTTGCAAAACATTGAAGCCCCAGGTGTTAGCAAAAAGTGTACCAGGAACGGTTAAAAAACTTGAAGAAGTGAACGACATCTTTGGGTCAGGCACTGCATGCAGAAAGCAAGCTAAATTCCTTCTGTTCTGAAGGATATGTTTGTTAGAATGATCTTACAAAAATGATACAAAACTTGTAGAAACTGACGGAAAGCTGACAGAAAGACTGCTTTCCTTTGGGTAGGAATTCTTCAGAAATAATATATAAACTGTTAGGATATTCTTTGTAAAAGGTTGGTTTTGCTGAATCGGGAAGGACATCTAGTTTTCTTCTTCTGGACTGTATGCTAGAGGAGACTATGAAAACAAAGGGGAAAAATAAAGCTCTAAAAAATGTAGATAAATTTATTAATGTATAGCTTATGTATGTACTTGCTGACTGTGGTAGTCGTGCTTATCTATTATTGAAGTCAGTTTGGAAGGCAGGCCAGATCTGTTCTTTTGCTCTTCAAACTGTATTTAAAATCCTCAATGAGGATAAAAAAAAAAAAAAAAAAAAAAAAAAAAGAAAGAAACCCCAACTTTCTCCCCTGCTACAGGCTCTGGTATGTCTGTTTATGTTACAGTGGGATAAATGAACCAAATTAAATTTTGTTTTTTTAAAAGGTGTGATTAAAAAAATCAAATCTGTCTCATGTTCTGCTCTTACATGAGGTTGCATGTGTGCATTTGTATATACTCTGCTGGTATTTTCCAATTGTGTTGGCCAAATTCTGCTTTTAGTTATGGTTAGGCATCTCTCCTGACTTTGGTGGTGTCATATGAGCCTGACATTTTTTGACCAGACGTGAAGGCCCCCCTGCTCAAGGAGAATGCATATGAAATATATCAGCCTTTCTTCTGCTGGCTGGTTATTTAAACATGGGTAACTGAATTATTGTGAAACAAATTCTGGGACTGCAGCTGCAAAAGCAGTAATACAGTATATTCGTAGTGATGTTTCTACTCCATACCTCCTAATTTCCCAGTTGATTTCCAGTGCAGACAGAAAGTCTAGAATGCATGTGGTAAGCTCCTCATCATATATTTTATAAGTGTAAAATAATGATTTGTCAATAACTGTTTCTATTATAGAGATAAAATGAGATATTTGGAGCTCTCATGATTCCTTTAGGACCTCTTACCTTTGGCTGTATTGATCACTGCTGGCTGGGAGTGTCGCTGAGCAGTGTGATGTGAAGTTGCTTTTAGTAATGTCTCTGAAACCAGGCTGTGCAGTGTGAATATTGGTTACTGTATGCTTTTATAGCCAATGTTGGTTTACGTTGTGTTGTCTTTCCCAGCAGTCCAGCTTTCTCAAATGGTAATTGAACAGCAGCAGTCAAAATACTCAGCTGAGGGAGAACCCCTGGACACTCCATGGGCAGTTATTCAAACACTTTCTGAACCAGTTTGACCCATTGCTGATTTATTCCAGATTCATTGCAAGGAATTTAAAAAACGCAAACTGTAGTGTATAGTTCATAGCATGGCTCACAGTCATTTTTGGGTTTGTTTTGTTTTTATAAAGCAGTCCATTCCAAAATTCCTTTTTTTTAAAGAATTTTTTTTTTTTTTTTTTTTTAAAGTCCTTCTCCAGGAGGCACACCCTGAGCAAAGGAAACAGTCCCCGCAATACAAGATGGTAATCTCTGTGCAGTTCGTCTGGTGACTCCCAAGTGACAGGTTACATTGCGAGGACTCCCCTTTGGAAACCACCCACTGCCCAGGGGTCCCCCTGCTTCCCCCCAGTAGTTAATTAACAGGGTGCAGCAGCTTCCCAGTCACCACAACATCGGCTGCTGCTTTCTGCCTCTTCTTTTTACCAGGGAAGAAAGCACATCTCCTGGTAGATTTTCCTGTTGTTTTCCATAAAGAGAAACAGCTTTACACAGCTTTCCTCAAGTATGGGCTGGGATTTACTCTCCATGACTATTGATTTCAGAAGACCTAATGCTTGGTAGGCAAATAGTTTTAGCACTTCTCAGATATCTCTGCTTTGTAAATCTGCAGCCTTGGGGGAGTAAAGGGTAATCTTTGAGCAAACTTGAACTGGCCCTTACTTGGGGCGGGGAGACGGAGGTCATTAATGCTGTAAAATACTGGTGAGCTGTATTTCTGTGCTTTCCTTTGGATGATAGGATTTAATCATGAAGAAGAAAGTTCTTACTCAGCAAGACATGAACTAGTAAATATCTGAAGAAAATGGAGAAAAGACTAAATTATGGTGGGCAAATACACTGACTTTGTTAGCAGTCTTCATTGGTGTAAATTGACATTCATATAAAATCGAAGATCTGTGTGTTTATGCATTTATGTTTTCTGGATGAAAGTATTCCCTTGATGATACTTTTATCTTACACAGTGCACTTGTGGGTAAAGAGCCTGTAAGTAAATCAAGTCTGAGGACCTAATGAACTAGAAGTAAAACAATAACCAAAGAAACATCTCCAAAAAACCACTATAAAGGAACAGTACAACATGTCTCAAAGAAGTACTGTTTTTAAGAGATAGTGTTGCTATAGTTCTCAAGCAAACAAATGGTTGCATCTGCCAAAGATAGTATGTCCATTTTAAGGCACAATTCCATTTGATTTATGTATGCACAACTAAGCAAATGTCAATGATAGTAGTCTGGGAGCAATTCCTTGGTACTTATGTACATTATATTGAATGCTTGTTAATTATGATCTCTGGCAATCCTCAGTAAGCATGATGCTTGTACCTGAAAATAGGTGATAAGATTATTTTTTTTTAATTTGTAAAAGTGTTATGATTTGCATTGAATTACATATAAGAATTTATTTTTTTGCTACAGCTTCTAAAATATATGGGAACCTGAATGGCTGATAAGAATTATGGGAGAGGGTGTGACGCCTTGGCATAAGCACCAGCTGTAGACAGCCTAGGGAATGTGAGGTGGAAGTTTCTTCATCCTGATGTTGTCTCCTGTAACAGGGCAGTATGCATAGATCCTGCGTAACAGATACTTTGGAAAAGAATGACAGGAGGACTTCAAGAATGGAGGACATCATTCATTCATAGTAAGTACAAGGTCTGATGTAAGTGTTGCCTTTGCAGTGCCATTTGCATAGAATATATATTTCTATATGAACATGTAAAATTCTAAGATCTTTACTCAAACATAAGGTCTTTATTATAGCAGATTAAAAGCAGAATAAACTCTAATGAAGCCAGATGGAATAGGAACTGGATATGTTCCCTGTTCTTACATTCTAGTGGATTTTGTTGTTACCTTGCTTGTCTTAAGGATTTGGTTGATTGGAATAATAGATTAGTCATTGTGGATGGTTTTATGGGTAATACATCACATTCTTTTTTTTGGAGGGCATTTTTATCATATAATCTCTAATTTGTAATGTAGCTTCTGATCCTCTCTGTGGTTAGAGGATATGTGGAAACATCTATATCTTGTGTAGACTGTCATCTCTCATGTCTTATCATCCTCCTTGGTGCTGTATATTTTGAATACTGTCAGTTACTATGGCATTACTATTTTAAAGCCTGACTCTTGAAAGTAGAGATCTTGTAAGACCCCTGGCTTGTGGACCTTACTGTAGGAAATATATCACCAAGTTTAGCATAAATAAGGGGGGCAAAATGTAAACATTTATGTAAGGAACCAGCTTGACTCTACATTTTAGAAGTCTATG